ATATATATATATATATATATATATATATATATATATATATATATATATATATATATATATTACTCCTTCTCAGTATATAATACTTCCTCAGTGAACATTGAAGGTGGTAGGATGGAGAGAATTGAGGACTCTCCTCTCCTCTGTGTTCAGTGTCTAAGAAAAGTCCTTTTTGGTAAAGCCTACTCCAGGTATATCTTTGCTGACATTGAGTTTTCAGTGGAGATGTGGGTTTCCTTGGCTTTAATCCTCTAGAAATAGAAATTGAAAATGAAAATACTTTTTATACAGAAAACAAAGAGGTTAATACAGAGCATGTAGAAGCATGTGTTGTTGTGACACTCATGTGGATTGGAGTGAATCAAGCACAGTTCTGGGGCCTTTTCATTTGAACATCAAAGAACACAGCACTGTCAGAATGCCCACACCAAACAGGCAGTCTAATTTACTGTTTAATAATGCATGGACATGCCAGGCTTCTCTTTGCAGTTCCTCTCCCCAGGGCTGTTCCAGCTCAACTAGTTCCTAGGCTATTAAAATTTGATCTGGTTTCTTTCTCTGATATTTGGGGAAAGAGAAATAAAATTGATTTTATTTTAGTAGTTCTAAACTATTTTAGTAGTTCAAAAGTCTTCACTGATTTTAAACTCTCCGCATTTCAAACAAAGTTTAGGGTGCTTAAATAAAAAAGTGCTTAAGAAAGGTAATGAAGTGAAATAAACTTTAAGTTAGAGATTTGGGGAAACGAGTCAAAGTGGAGATGAGTCGTGCTCAAGTGCTTCTTGGATGAATAAAGGGAGGGGGAGGAGGTTACACTGCCCTGTTCAGCTTCCCAGCCAGGACCATGCTGGTTTATTGGAATCACCAAGCATGCGTCTGGGTGGTGAGATAGGATTAATGACCGTCTTCATGTTCAAATACCACTTTGCCTTCTCTTTTGCCTTCTAGCTTCAGGGGGCCTGGTGGTCTCCCTCTGTGGAATGTAAGTCTCCCCCACCTCATAGTCCCTGAAAAAGCTTGCATCACCATTAACACTACTGTGTGTTGATTGCTATTTCATATTTCAGAAAATACTAAAGTTGACTAAATGCAAACATATGCATGTCAGTTCCTAGTGCTTATTTATTTTTTTAATTTTTATTAATTACAGTTTGTTCACTTTGTATCCCCCCTGTAGCTCCCTCCCTCCTCATCTCTCTTCCCCTCTCAATCCCACCCTCCCTCCCCTTTCTCCATCCATGCCCCTCCCCAAGTCTACTGATAGAGGAGGTCTTCCTCTCCTTACTTCTAGTGTTTATTTTATGTTTGGTTTATGTAAAATGATAGTAGATTTAGATCATTGTTGGAGGCTGATGGTGCCTGAATATGTGGCATATTCTAATATATAAAATTTTACTATTTCATAGAAAAAAAATTAAGTAGTATGTAACCACTGTAGAAAATTAGCCACTGAGAGAATTAAAAAGGAATGCCTAAATAGAAAATGAACACTTACCATTTTGTTTTGTATTGCTTTTTGAATAGATGAGCTCTCTATTTTTTTTTACACTACTTGCTGCGCCACTCTTGATCTGCTCTCTTAGTTTGTGAGTCCTTGGAAATTTTGAGTCATAACTAGTATATGCTAAAAATATAGTTTCGCATGATCATATTTTTGTGAACAATGCTCTAAGATGTTACCTTTTTATGAAATAAAATTATTCTGGCAGACTTTTACTCACAACCAAACTCTGAGGCCATGACAGCCAAATATCCTTCTTTTTATCCTCTTTTGCTGCAAGCAATGCTTTTCAGGAAGCAAATGTCATAGCCTGCCCTCTGAAGACTCTTGAGAGGAATTTTAAATAGACTGTCACCTCCTTCCCTCTAATCTTCTCTAATGAGGTGTTAGATGGACCCAAGTGGAAGGTAAAAGATACAGTAAAGGATGAAGGGAAATATGGTTTCTGTAACTATATTTTATCCTAACTGTAAATGTTAGGATAAAAATCTCACAAGTTATTTATGGTCATGTTTAAAGTCCTGTTTTGGGGGCTGAGCAAAGGGCTGTTAGTAAAGTGCTGGCCCTGAAAACATGAAAACTGGTGGGGAGGAGCCTTGACCTCATGGGCACAGGAGGCAACTTCCTGAACAGAACACCAACAGCACAGGCTCTAAGATCAACAATCAATAGATGGGACCTCATTAAAGCTTCTGAAAAGCAAAGGACACTGTCCTCAGAACAAAACGACAGCCTACAGACTGGGAAAGGATCTTCACCAACCCTATATCTGACAGAGGGCTAATAGCCAGAATATATAAAGAACTCAAGAAGTTAAACAGTAACAAATCAAATAGTCCAATTAAAAAATGGAGTACAAAGCTAAACAGATAATTCTCAATAGAGGAACATCAAATGGGAGAAAAACACTTAAAGAAATGCTCAACATCCTTAGTCATCAAGGAAATGCAAATCAAAAACAATCTGGAGATTTCACCCTTCACCCATCAGAATGGCTATGGTCAAAAACTCAAGTGACAACACATGCTGGAGAGGATGTGGAGACAGAGTAACCCTCCTCCATTGCTGATAGGAATGTAAACTTGTACAACCACTCTGGAAATCAATCTGGTGCTTTCTCAGACAATTGAGAATAGTGCTTCCTCAAGATACAGCTATACCACTCCTAGGCATATACCCAAAAGAGGGTCAACTACACAGTAAGGACATTTGCTCAACCATGTTTGTAGCAACTTTATTTGTAATAGCTAGAACCTGGAAACAACCCAGATATTCCTCAATGGAGGAATAGATAGAGAAATTGTGGTACATTTACACAGTGGAATACTACTCAGCAATTAAAAACAAGGAAATCATGACATTTGCAGGCAAATGGTGAGAACTAGAAAGGATTATCATGAGTGAGGTATCCCAAAAGCAGAAAGACACACAGAGTATATACTCACTTATAAGTGGATACTAGACCTATAGTATAGGATAAACATACTAAAATCTGTACACCTAAAAAGCTAAGCAAGAAGGAGGACCGTGGGTAAGATGATTAATCCTCACTCAGAAATACTAAAGGGATGGACATTGGAAAAAGAAGAAAACAGAAAACAGGACAGGAGCCTACCACAGAGGGCCTCTGAAAGACTCTACCCAGCAGTGTATCAAAGCAGATACTGAGACTCATAAACAAACTTTGGGCAGAGTGCAGGGAATCTTATGAAAGAAGGGGGAGATAGTAAGACCTGGAGAGGACAGGAGCTCCACAAGAAGAACAACATAACCAAAACATAACCAGGGGCCTTTTCTGAGACTGATACGCCAACCAAGGACCGTGCATGGGGATAACCTAGAACACCTGCAGAGATGTAGCCCATGGCAGTTCAGTGTCCAAGTGGGTTCCCTAGTAATGGGATCAGGGACTGTCTCTGACATGAACTCAGTGGCTGGCTCTTGGATCACCTCCCCCTGAGGGATGGGGCAGCATTGCCAGGCCACAGAGGAAGACAGTGCAGCCAGTCCTGACGAGACTGGATAGACTAGGATCAGAAGGAAGGGGAAGAGGACTTCCTCTATAAGTAGACTAGGGAAGAGGCATGGGAGGAGAAGACAGAAGGAGGGTAAGATTGGGAGGGGCCTACAGCTGGGCTACAAAGTGAATAAATTATAATTAATGAATAAATTAATGAAGACTGGGTTCTGGTTGTTTCCAGATTCTGGCTGTTGCAAATAAAGCTGCTATGAACATGTTGTTATCAAGTCATTTCAGCATTACCGTATTTGAATTTTTCTGAATAGTTCTGCCTTGTTACATTGGGTGCTCATTTTCTTCTGCAGATTACACAAACTCCCTTGCTGTCCAGTAGAACTTGAAAATTGTTCTTGAAAAACTTGAAAAAGCATTGTTTGGATGGAATGGATCCCTTTCACAGATTTTTTTTTTCATCACATTATCCTTTGAAAACATTCACAATTTGCATGATAGGAGTTATTCCACTGGGAATTTATGCTTTTGTAACAGCTGTCATCGTTCAGAATCTTCAAATGGTTTGTGTAATTGTTAGTGTGATCAGTAAAATATATCCTTCATGTTCCACAGTAATTTATAAATTTGGATTGCTATTTTTAAAAAGAAAAATACTCTGTCGAGATGAATGAGCTGTGATGCTGTTAATATTTCATCTAAGAGCCTCATCCTCATTAATTCAAGAACTAGTAAACAAGCCATTGCTGAATCAAAGAGACATATTTAAGGCATTTTTATTTTTGAAATATTATGTAAGTATTGATAAATATCTAGAAGCTTACAGATTTATTTTTTTTTTACTATGAAAATAACCAACTTGATTTTACTACTGCTTAAACACCCACTGTCAAGTTTAGGATGCCTCAAAGCTAGGCAAAGCCACAGGTCAGAATGCACAGCTGGTGTTTGAATTCTTCTGATAGAAAAGCATCTCATGAGAAAATTACTGTCCCATAGAATTCCTGTTAAACAAGAAAAATAGATCATGGTAGAGACTTGACCACCGAGAAGAACACAATATCCCAGAAACCAGTGATCCATTCTCTTGTGCTTAGGCCAGTGCCTCATCTTGTACAAAGCTAAGTGCATGCTGAGACCCTTCTCCTGCAACTTGTTTACAGAGATCCTTCAGGTGTTCACCACCACTGTGGTCACCATGGTTACATTCACTCTCTTTATTCATAGCCTTAGAGCTCATCCTTGATGGCTTTAGTGAGCATGTTGTCTGCTACTGTGTTAGAGCTGGTACATCATCTTGGAGGCACTCAACCTTCTCTCTTTGGAATAACTGTGCCTGAGAATGTTTCTCCATTATGATTCTTTAAAGGGCTTACATTAATTCTTTTTGATAATGCTGTTAGTATAGTTTTTTTTCAGGTGGCTGCACCTTTCTGTTTGATAGTTTTCTTGAATAATTACCAACAGCAATCATTTTGTTCTTTGCCTGCAGGTACTACAGCGCAACCATCCTGCAGATGTCTGGAGTGGAAGATGACAGACTTGCAATATGGCTGGCTTCAGTTACAGCTTTCACCAATTTCATTTTCACACTAGTTGGAGTCTGGCTTGTTGAGAAAGTGGGTCGTAGGAAGCTTACGTTTGGTAGTTTGGCAGGTAGGTGCCTGGATGTAGAATCTTGCTTTAAAATACCTTCCAGCAGTGATGGTGACTCTCTCAAAAGAGAACAGCAACATCTGAGAGTGAATTTCGAGCCAGAGAGCACAGGACTAAAATGATTGACAGAAAGCAAATAAATAAAGGTAATATCCTTTAACTAGTTCTGGGATAAGTGGCTAGAAACAAGACTGTGACAGGAAAGGCATTAGCTTTAAGGAAACATTTACTGGGAATGTATTTCTGTCAACAGTTGGAGAGCTGCCCGGAGGAGACGTGAAGAGCATAGCCACAGTTTTCTTTTGCCTTCTTTGACATGCTTATCATTTATGATATTATTTTGCAACATTGTATTTTTGATTTTGGAATATTGTGGAAACAGATATAAGAATCTTCCTTCACAAAACAAGAAAAGACTTTTTGAAACAGGCCAAAATTCTAGGGAAAACCCGATGGGTAAAATGTGTTTGATGTGATAGCAAAATAAGGAAAAGCATGAATGTCTTTTGTGTTAAGTTTTTGCCTACTGTTTCTCTGTAAAGGATTCTGTAAAGAGACCCACCTTTAACATTGTCATTACATGATTACATCAGGTATTTTATATTTTTTTCAAATGTACAAACACATTTGGCTGTCTTCCCATAGCAACCTTATATTTGAAGTAAAATATGTTTTATCCTCAAACATAAAGAGTTTAGCATAGCATTTACAAAATTCTATTAAAAATTATATCTAAAACCAAATTTCATCTCACAAAACTGCTTTAGCACTTAATACAGTTTTTGGTGAGAAAATACATTCTGATTTCCAAACTCAGTTACTGAGAGTTCAATTCCTTCATTCTTTTACCTCAGCTAATCTACTTACAAATACCTTTATAGACCTGCCCAGAGCTGTGTCTCTTTATGATCTCACATCTAATCAAGTTGAATACCATGATAAACCCATCACAAATAACTTGGATAGTTTTTTTAATATTTTTTTAAATTACTGAAAAATATTTAATACTAGTCAAAGACATATCTAATGCAAAAGAAATATGAACTATGTACTCCATAAGTATTTTCAGTAAGGAACATTTTATAGTTTTCAGATATTTTAGTATTATACTGACTTGTTTAAAGAACTAAAACTTTTTTTTTTTAGCAAACTATAAAACAGTTTCTTCTTTCCATGAGTAGTGGAATGGCTCTATCTAAATCAAGATATTGGTGCTAAGTCTTAGGAAAGTACAAATACCATAGTTTTTTTTCACCATTTATTTTGTGGTGTAATATTCATGAAAACCTCTCTGATAGGATATATGCCTCAGCATAGACAAGACTATGTATTTGAAAAGGTGGTTTCTTGGACCCTGTCTGAGCCACAAAAATGTGGTCCACAGCAACTTCCCCTGGTAGAATTAAGGCACCTTTATGAGAGCTGGGATCTGGGAAAGAAAAATTACTTCTACTGAGTAATTACTTATGAACCAAACCCTGTGCCAATTAATTTATGTAACTTGTTACACCAAATGTTTTTTTTTTCCAGGCTGATATTTATCCAACATATTTTACTTTCTAAAGAGAATATCTTTATTAGGAGAGTTTTACCAAAAATCCAAAATGAACAAGTATACTTGGTTAAGAGAAATGTTTATTGTAATAGGGCCCTAGACCTTAGCACAACCTACTCTATGATGGAAGTGCCATTTAGGCTGTAAAACTCAGCGAGTAGACAGTGTCACCTGCCAAAGCTAAAACAAAGACCTTATCCATCAATGTCCATAGTTCTAGGAAAGTCTCAAATTGTGCTAACCATGCTTTTAGATTTCTGTAGTTCTGATTCTGGCTAACTATTTTTGTTAACTGAGGACATTGTTTTTGTGTTTAAAAGCTTACCCTTAGAAAGGCTCGGGACTGTACTGCAGTCCCAAATACCCAGTATAGTCACTGGCTGGCTAATAAAGACTTTCTATTGGCTTAAACCCATGTCTGAGCAGTCCTCTCTGAATCACACATTTCTCTTAAAAAGTGAGGAACAACTGGGGGAGAAGGAAAACCGGGGGGGGGCATCTCTGGGACAAGCTGGAGACCTGTGTGCAAGGGGGTAGGCTCCTGGGAAGATATGGGGATGACTCTAGCTGAGTCTCCTGGCAGCAAGGAATATGAGACTGAAGTGCCCACCTCCAGTACCCAGGCAGGACTTCCAGTGGAAGGAGGACACCAACCCACTTATAAAACCTTCAAACCAAAATTTACCCTGCCAAGAAGGTATACGGGGGGAAAAAAATGGAGCAGAGATTGAGGGAAGGGCCAAAGAATGACTAGGTTAACTTGAGGCCCAGCCCATTGGACAGAGCCAACTCCTGACACTATTAATGAAACTCTGCTATGCTTGCAGACAGGAGACTAGCATAAGTGTCCTCTGAGAGGCTCTGCTCAGCAGTGGATCCAAAATGATACAGAGACACACAACTAAACATTAGGCAGAGATCGGCGAGTCTTGTGGAAGAATTGAAGGAAGGATAGAGGGAACTGGAGGGGCTAAAAACTCCACAAGAAGACTAACAGAGTTGACTGACCAAGGACTATGGGGGCTCACAGAGACTGAACCACCAAACAAAGAATTTGCATTGACTGGACCTAGGTCCTCTACACAAATGTAGCTGATGAGCAACTTGGTTTTCATGAGGGTCTCCTAGCAATTAGAGAGGGGACTGTCTCTGACATGGACTCTGTTGCCTGCTTTGGTATCACTTTCCCCTAGCTGGGTTGCCTTGATGGGCCTCACTGAAAGAGGATGTGCTTCATCCTGATGCTACTTGATATGCCTGGGTGGGTTGGTGGTGGGGCATTCCACTTCTCTGAGGAGAAGGGGAGGGGAGAAAGAGGAAGAGGGTGGGAGGATGGGACCAGGAGGAGAGGGATGGCTTTGATAGGGATGTAAAGGGAAGAAATTTTTTTTTACTTTTATTAGTTACACTTTATTCACTTTGTATCCCGCCCATAAACCGCTCCCTCCTCCCCTCCTAATCCCACCTTCCCTCCACCTTCTTCACACATGCCCCTCCCCAAGTCCACTGATAGGGGAGGTCCCCCTCTCCTTCCTTCTGATCCTAGACTATCAGATCTCATCAGGAGTGGCTGCATTGTCATCTTCTGTGGCCTGGTAAGGCTGCTCCCCCCTCAGAGGGAGGTGATCAAAGAGCAGGCCAATCAGTTTATGTCAGAGGCAGTCCCTCTTCCCATTACTATGGAACCCACTTGGACACTGAACTGCCATGGGCTACATCTGTGCAAGGGTTCTAGGTTATCTCCATGCCTGGTACTTGGTTGGAGTATGAGTCTCTAGAAAGAACCCTGTGTTCAAATTTTCTGGTTCTGTTGCTCTCCTTGTGGAGTTCCTGTCCTCTCCAGATCTTACTATTTCCCACTTCTTTCATAAGATTCCTTGCACTCTGCCCAACAGTTGTCCATAAGTCTCAGCATCTGCTTTGATAGTCTGCAAGGCAGAGGCTTTCAGAGGCCCTCTGTAGCAGGTTCCTAACTTGTTTCCTGTTTTCTTCTTCTTCTGATGTCCATCCTCTTTCCCTTTCAGGATGGGGATTGAGCATTTTAGTCAGAGTCCTCCCTTTTGATTAGTTTCTTTAGATGTACAGATTTTAGTAGGTTTGTCCTATGTTGTATGTCTATATGAGTGAGTATATACCGTGTGTGTCTTTCTGTTTCTGGGACAGCTCACTCAGGATGACCCTTTCCAGTTCCCACCATTTACCTGCAAATTTCCTGATTTCCTTGTTTTTCATTGCTGAGTAATATTCCATGGTGTAGATGTACCACAATTTCTGTATCCATTCTTCAGTTGAGGGGCATCTGGGTTGTTTCCAGCTTCTGGGTATTACAAATAAAGCTGCTATGAGCATGGTTGAGCAAATGTCCTCATTGTGTACTTGAGCCTCTTTTGGATATATGCCTAGGAGTGGTATGGCTGGATTTTGAGGAAGTGCTATTCCTAGTTGTCTGAGAAAGCACCAGATTGCTTTTCAGAGTGGTTGTACAAGTTTACATTCCCACCAGCAGTAGAGGAGGGTTCCCCTTTCTCAACAACCTCTCTAGCATGTGTTGTCCCTTGAGTTTTTCATTTTGGCCATTCTGATGGGTGTAAGGTGAAATCTCAGGGTCATTTTGATTTGCAGTTCCCTGATGGCTAATGAGTTTGAGCATTTCTTTAAGTGTTTCTCTGCCATTCGATATTCCTCTATAGAGAATTCTCTGTTTGGCTCTGTTCCCCATTTTTTAATTGGAATACTTGGTTTGCTGCTTTTCAGCTTCTTTAGTTCTTTATATATACTGGATATTAGGCCTCTGTCAGATAAAGGGTTGGTGAAGATTCTTTCCCAATCTGTAGACATTCGTTTTGTTTTGATCATGGTGTCCTTTGCTTTACAGAAGCTTTTCAGTTTCATGAGGTCCCATTTATTGATTGTTGCTCTTAGAGCCTGTGCTGTTGAGGAAGTTGTCTCCTATACCAATGAGTTCTAGGGTCTTCCCCACTTTTTCTTCTAACCAATTTAATGTGTCTGGTTTTATGTTGAAGTCTTTGATCCACTTGGACTTTAGTTTTGTGCAGGGTGATAAGTATGGATCTATTTGCATTTTCTACATGTAGATATCCAATTAGACCAGCACCATTTGTTGAGGATGCTATCTTTTTTCCATTGTATGGTTTTGGCATCTTTGTCAAAGATCAGGTGTCCATAAGTGTGTGGGTTTATTTCTGGGTCTTCTGTTCGGTTCCATTGATCCACCATTCTGTTTCTATGCCAGTACCATGCACTGAGGAAACCCAAACAATCATTAGGTCTTACTTCAAAAACCTATATGCCACAAAATTTGAAAATCAAAAATCAGTAGCCCTCCTGTATACAAAAGACAAAAGGGCTGAGAAAGAAATTAGGGCAACTACACCCTTCACAGTAGCCACAAATGACATAAAGTACCTTGGTGTAACCCTAACCAAGCAAGTAAAAGACTTGTATGAGGAATTTTTTTTAAAGTAAAGAGCATAACAAAGCCTTCTGTTCTAAGACACCATATATGAGCTTCAAATTCTACAACAGTAATGAATCTGTTGACAAACGCTGCACTAATGACTAGTACTAATAAGTTCTAATGACATGGATGATTCAGGTAGTTTCATGATATAACAAAATGAAGAAGATAAAAGGACTAGGAGGTTTTCAAATTTAGACCATAAACAGAACCATTTAAGGAGCTATCGTCCTGGGGGAGTTTATTTTGATCTAAGGGCTTTTATCCTTGTTTGGGCAACATAGTCACATGTGGAGCTCTGATGTCCAGACCCCATCTTTTGAAAGTATGACTCTGAGGTCAGGGTACATCCAGGAATTCCTTCCAGTTGGAAGCCAAAATCTACAAATTTTCCTCATACAATTAATGTAAAGGTGTAACACTAGCTTTTAAATTTTTACTTCCTTCACAATTGGGTTAAGATAAAAATCAATGGGGCTTCCAGTGGCTGCTGGTCCAGAACCACTAGTCTCTGGAGTTCAGGTGCCCAAGATGATGTAGGAGTTCCAGCCACTGGGGTTCAGACTGTCCTAGGTGTTGTATAAACTCTAGCCATTGAGAGGTCTCTGTGTCCAGGATGACCCTGTGTGCATTTTCATGTTAGCAAGTTTTAGAGACAGATAGTTCAGGTACACTGTTCCCTTTGCAGACTCCCCCATGGGGGATAACTGCATATCCTGATCCAAGCCCTGAAATTTGAGAGTCTTGACATATTTTTTGTCTTGAACAAAAATATCCAACATTGCAAAATCCATTCTGCCTAGGCAGTACTTCCTGCGGCAAAGATGTGTGTATATTTCAAATATATTTATTTAAATGTTACATTGAAAATGTGCTGAGCCTACTGTCACAGAGCTAAGAGGACAGGAAGACATGAAAAATTCTAATAGATGTATGACAAATCTTCATGGACACTGATTCTCTGACAAGTTTAAAAAGGAAGGTGCCATCTTTCTTTCTCAACTTAAAGCATCAAAGTTTCCTGATGAAACTCTTTACTCAATGCATAGCAATGCACTGTGAAAGAAACTGGAGAACACAGCCATTTACTCGGGTTCTCTGGTTGACAAATTAGCAGAAGTCATTTTGTATGTGGCATTCCTTTTTAATAGGCAGTAAATTTTCACCTGCTTTATACATAATCAGTCTAGTACTTTTTTGGCTAATTCAAATCCTACCTGATCAAATGTCATTGGAAGAATTTTTTGGCTCTGATAGGAATGCTAGATATGCATATCTTTCCTTTTGTGCTTCTATTATATTAGTTACTTGACAATGAGGGTTATTTTCATTGATTTTTTTGAGAGTTATCAGCAATTGTAGATTTTTTGTTTGTTTTGGATGGCTTAATTCATTATTAGAAAATCATTACCAATTTACTCTGGCTCACAACTGGTTTGCTTTGAATTCTGTTTTTTTTGAGTTTCACAATGGGTGTGGGCTAGTGAATTTTTCTGACCATTACTTTACATGATAAATCATTTTTTAACTGAGGGGAAATGTTTCAAGGAGTCTTATTTATAGCTATGATGTCAAACCAAGTCTGTGTTGAAATAATGCTGTCAATGCTCTTCAATAAAAAGTGTATTTTTTGTTTTCAGGTACCACAATAGCACTTATTATTCTTGCTTTGGGATTTCTGCTCTCAGCCCAGGTTTCCCCACGAGTCACTTTCAAACCAGTGGCTCCTTCGGGTCAAAACGCCACCTGCACAGGATACAGGTGAGACTTTATTATGTTTCCTCTTCTTATTCCAATTACGGTCATTTTTTTTTTTTTTTAACATTTCTAAAACTCAGATGAATAGGAGATTCCTGAGTTTGCAGACTTGTGTCTGAAGGTATTGTGATGGAAAAAGTTGTCAGGAAACATCAGTATGAAAACCATAATCTTCAAAGACAAAATGTAAAAAAAAAAAAAAAAAAAAAAGCACTGAAGAAAAATGAGATGTTTGACACAATCTTGGTGATGTTTGTCTGAAACCTAAGATTGGGGCTTAATACCACATCAGTAACATAGCAAAATTGCCTGCTGGTGTTGATATTGTGGGCAAAATGAATAGCTCTGCCAGCTGTTGGACTTGGCCTACTGCACATGCTCACTGGACATGCTCACTGGACATGCTCACTGGACATGCTCACTGGACATGCTCACTGCACATGCTCACTGCACATGCTCACTGCACATGCTC